ACACACACACACACAAACATGCACACACACTCATGCACACACACACATACACCTACACACAAACACACACACACACACAAACATGCACACACAAACATGCACACACACTCATGCACACACACACACACACATACAGCTACACACACACACACACAAACATGCACACACATTCACAAACTCACCATGAGTGAGCCATACTTATATGACCTGATTGTGTGTGCGTGCGTGTGTGTGTGTGTGTGTGTGTGTGTGTGCAAGTGAGTGTGATTTCTTCGCTTTTTTGAGCAAATTAATATCATTTAATTTTGACAGTTACTATTTTCTACTTTAATTGATGTAATGCACCTAGAGTTGTGTGTATGTGGAAGTAGCCGCTATAAAAATACACTTCATCGTTACCATAAGATAAGATAAGATAAAATAAGATACATCTTTTTTGTCCAGATCCTGGCAAACTGGTTTGGTGTTTCACCACGTACACACATACACACACACACCCACACCCATGCACACACACACAAACATGCACACACACCCACATACACAAACATGCACATGCACGCATACACGCACGCACATGTGCACACCCATATACACACACACTCTTCCCGAACACATCCTCTCTTCCACACACATCTGTGCACATAACCATAATAATAATTATAATACATCATGGTGGGATCAGGCTATTGTCAATTTTTGTGCTTATTGGTATCATCTTTAAGCTTGTTCACTTGTCTTTATTTGGATGGAAAAAATATCCATTTATCTTGAATACAAGTCGAGATATTTGCGAATGAAGGAGGTGGGGGTCACCTGTTTTCAGAGGTAAAATTAGTGAGAAAACGGCCGCCAAAGATTAGTTATTTCCTTAGCTTAAGAGTCCGTGGTAACTAAAAATTTACATTTTTTGTGCCTTTAATCAACATTTTTCAGAAAAATCAACACAGAAATGAGTTCTTTAATGGGCATGAAAGGTGTTGAGCCAAAAAAAAAAAATTTGATACAAATTCACAAACCAGCGGGAAAATTCAAGTTTCTTCACTTTGATTATTTTGACTAGAGCCTGATTCCACCATGCTGCCTCACATATTTGTTTGGTTATAGACAAAACTGTCCTTGTCTTTTAAAGAAATTGAACAAGATTTTCTCAAAATAGCATTTTTCGGGATAGCCCCCTTGTGCTTTTTAGTTTAGTTTTAGTAGAGGTTTTTCCGCGCTCGCAACTGCACAAGGTCATATGAGCGCCAGAAGATTAGAGGTGTTACAAGAGAGTAACAAACACAAAAAAGAAGGAGGGGAGACAAGGACGATAGATGTTTGATAGGAAAGAAGAAGCAAACCACACCAGAGCACCCGCCAACCACCCACTCCCCTTGTGCTTAATCAAAAGCGACCATATAATACATCAGGATGAGTTGACTGACCAAAGTGCAGGATCTCCCAGGCCACAATGCCGTAAGCCCAGGTGTCCGTCTTGATGTTGTACAGCTGGTGTTGGAGGCTCTCAGGGGCGGACCAGCGCACGGGCACACAGTTCTGAAAGCACGTAAAGAAAGAACGACACGCGTGTTAGAATGACACATGCGTTGGAATGAAACACACGTTAGAATGACACATGCGTTGGAATGAAACACACGTTAGAATGACACATGCGTTAGAATGACACATGTGTAAGAATGACAGGCACATTAGAATGACACATGTTAGAATGACACATGTTAGAATGACACATGTTAGAATGACACATGTGAGAATGACAGGCGTGTTGGAATGGCGCACGTTAGAATGACACATGCTAAAATGACAAGAGCGTTAGAATGACACGCGTATTAGAATGACACATGTTTAGAATGACACATGTGTTAGAATGAAGCACGCGTTAAAATGGCATGCGTGTCAGAGTGGGACATGCTACAGTTTGCTGGTGGCGGAGTGGGAATTTGCACTATACACATGCTAGTATTTTCATCATTATTATTGTTATTAATTTTATTATTATAATTA